CCCCCCAGTGACCACCCATCTGACCCCTGTGTCACTGACACTTGCTGACATTACTTGAATCTGAACTCACTATTATTTTATTTGTCTTTTTTTTTTTTCTTAATAAAATTGTCACCAACTGACTAATAAGTGGGTAATAAGCACAAGGGGGCTATCCCGAAAAATGCTGTTTTGAGAAAATCGAAGGTAAAGTTTTTGTCAGTTTCTTTAAAAAATAAGAAGAGTTTTCTCTGTAACCAAACAAATATACACACCAATGAAACCAAACTTCTCCTATAGGTAGGTCAATGTCCACTTTTGGTGTAGGTCAAGGTTTTTGGAAACTTGGCCGGCTTGTCCTTAAAAGCGACCAAATAATTATTGTCACCAACTGACTAATTGTCACCGACTGACCAATTGTCACCAGCTGACTAATTGTCACCAGCTGACTAATTGTCACCAGCTGACTAATTGTCACCAGCTGACTAATTGTCACCAGTTGACTAATTGTCATCCATTGACGGCATTGTGTGGCGTCGGTGGACTAGTGGTTAGGCTTTCGGACTCGTAACTGTAAGGTCGTGAGTTCGAATCCTGTCAGGGGCCCGACGTTGTGTCCTTGGGAAAGGCACTTTGCACAAATTTTCCTCACTTTACCCAGGTGGAAATGGGTACCCGGCTATAGACAGTGAACGATCTTGTCAGTTTGATAGTGCTTGAGCGCGTGAAATCCGCAGCTTGCACTGTATGCTTCTGTGGAAGCCGAGAATGTTTCAGAGTGTTCTCAGAGGGTCTGCTGGGGTAATAATGGTTGTAAAGCGCATAGAGCATGCTCTTGAGCATGGATATGCTCTATATAAATGCAATTATTATTATTATTATGACCTGAGCTCATTTATAAATGACTTTTCAGTTGCAACGCTCACAAGCCTGTTACGACCAAGTTTGTTGTATCTTGAAGGAAGAGAGGGACCACAGGACTTCTGAAATTGCAGAGCTCAAAATCCAGGTAATGTGGGATAATGATGATGATGACTGAAACCGATGCAGATTTTCTGTATAAACTGTTGCGGG